TATGCATTTATTTATTTAGATTTCTGCTATAGGGCGCGTGCACACTCACCGGAGAGACAGAGACAGAAAGTGAGAATCACCTCCCAGGGGGACAGCCACACTGCAATCCCTTCTCCCCCAGTCTCCTCTTGGGATCTTGGGTACACATGAAACACACACCCAGCTTGAGTTTTAAGTTACCGGGTCTGGGACTCAAAATGTGATCGACTGCATGGGAGCCCAGTAACATAAGCATGATGCCATCTGCTGACCCAAGTTCTCTATTTAACTAGCCACTTCTACATATGAGGTTTTCTTCCTGTCTTAAAATCGGGAAGCTTAACATGACTGCACTAGAACAAGAGAAACGAGTAGGACTCGTTCAACATCTGACACATCCACACAGTAGTAAGTGGGTCGGGGAAGCCAAGTCAGTCCTGGCATTCTAGACACACAGATAAACTGCCAACGGCTGCACGAATCTAGTAGATGGCCCGACTGGCTCTTGAGCCCCCAGTTCCTCTACCTTCTGAAGCCTACTGCCTGTTGCCAACTTCGTAACTTCAACTGTGAATGCAGGCCTTCGCCATTATACAGGCTAGCCTGCATGTGGACTGTTTAGTTAGATGGAAGTGAGGGGAGACACAGCCCAGGTGACACAGACCCTGGCAGAACACCTTTCCAAAGGCTGGAGAAAGACCAAAAGAGAGCAGATCAATGTGGAATAAAGTAAAAATCATTAAAGAAGCTAGTTGGCAAATACATTCAGAGAAATTTTTGTGCTATAAAAAATTCCTTATTTTATGGTATCAGGATAACTATTTTATTTTTTTTTTCCTGAGAGATTTTTGTTATAGGGCACATGTGCTCACCAGAGAAACAAGAGACAGAGACAGAAAGCAAAAAATCACTCTCCTCCCCCACCACCTCTGCTGCCGGTGGGTATGGTCACACCACAATCCCTTCTCCATTCTCCTCTTGGGATTTTGGGCATGTACACACATGTGCCTGGCACGAGTTTGTCACTGGGTCCGGGACTTGAGACATGGTCAGCCATGTGGGAGTCCACTGACGTAACCATTCCGCCATCTGCTGGCCCCCATAATTCTTAATACTATGATTACTGTGTCCCTAAAAGCTATACTGTATCATGTCACAGGGTCCAACCACTTCCTTTCTGCTCCACTTCACAAACACCTAGGATATGAGTAAGTTAATGAATGGATACGGTTTGAGAAGTATCACTAGACACCTAAGGGACTGTTTCTGCCCAAATGACTGATCATTACCTGAACTTTTAATGGGCTTTTTCATAAATCTTTACATTTTTCATTAGGGTTATGGAAATTTTTTCTACATAATGCCTAAGATTTGAGGTACACTTCCTTTTCCAATCATTTTGGGCATATGTGGCTTTTCTTGATGAACAGGTATTAAATGTTAGAGAATGTATGTGCCAGAGACAGAGGGAGAGGTAGAGAGCACTCTCCTCCACAGCGGGGAGTGTTAATGCGGCAATCCCTTCTCCATCCTGTCAGGACTTAGGGGTTCACACGTACATGAGCCTGGTGTGTTTTTCAAGCTTCTGGGACTGGGATTTGAACCACAGTCATCCATGTGGGATCCAGCTTCCTCAACCACTAGGCCATGCACCAGTCCAGAAATAGTTTTTTTTTTTTTTTTTTGGAGAGGTTTTCACTACAGGGCGTGTGTGCTCGCCAGACAGACAGAGAGAGACATAGAGATAGAAAGCGAGAAATCACCCCCCAGGGGGGATGGTCACACCGCAATCCCTTCTCCTCCACTCTCCTCTCAGGATCTTGGGCACGCATGCACACGCGCCCGGCGTGAGTTTTAAGCCACCAGGTCCGGGATGCGAACCGCGGTCGACTACGTGGGAGTCCAGCGACATAGCCATTATGCTAACTGCTGGTTCCCCAGAAACAGTTACTTTCTGATAGGCTCTCACCATGTCACCATTCCTTCCTCAGCTTCCTGGGTAACTCGGACTACACACACGCACTGCCAGGCCCAGCCTTTCTAGGACAGGCCAGGGGGGAACCTGGGCCTCCACTGCAGCCTTCGCACCGCACAGCGGCGCCGTCCTTAAGGTAACACTGTGGCCGTGCTCTCTGACCTTAGGGTGTTGCACAGGCATAATAAAACTGGGCCGTATCTTTCTTGAACTGTTGTAATTGTCAGCTGTTTCTGAACCATTAAAACCTTCTACATCTCAGTGAAGCATTTGGATTACTCAAGAATATGGGGAATTTTCTTCTTTTCTATCATCTTTGAAGAGGCTGCCACCTTTTTTTAAAGAATTATTTTATTTAATTTTATTTACTTATTAAATTTAACTTGACTATGGGAGAGGAGGGAGAAAGAGAGAGAAAGTTAGAAAGCCACCAGGTCTGGAACTCGAACCACAGTTGGCCATGTGGGAGTCCAGTACCCTTAACCACCATGCCACCTGCTGCCCCGAAAGAGACCATCTTCTGATATAAAATATTTAAATCTGGTTTTCACTATTGACCCTGAGCCAGCCAGATCTCTGCTCACTGGTACCCCTAAACTTTGAGGGCTAATCTCAACCTCAATGCCTCAATTTCAGGTGGTTTTGTCAAGTTTTCTGAACTTGAAAAAGCTATAACCATGGCAACCTGAGGAAAAAAATGCCTACCTACCTACAGTGTCTGTCTGCTAGATTGCTGTATCCCCTTCAGTGTAACTTTACAAGAGAATAGAAGAAATCAAAGATATAATTTTCAAAGAGCAGGTTATACCTCAGATCTGGGGAAAAAAATAGGACAGTAATTACACCACAAGCTACGATGATTCTTCTGAGTATTATTAGATAAGCAAACGGACTGGATGGCTTAGCACACTGCCCAGGGCTTAAGTGATTAATGATGATCCCTTGTAAAAAGGGCATAGTTCCACTGTACGAATGAGGGAATATAGTGACATAATGACCCAAAGTGACCATCAGAGGCAGGGCTTGACGTTTCTATTATGCCATTCTACAAAGTGCTAGAGAGCAGGAGACAAAGTTACCTCCTCCACACACACACCCCACCTGCTCCCACAGCGGTAAGGCTGAGGATACGGAGAGCAGAAAAGGCTATGAAATCCAGAGCAGTACAAACACTGCCAGTTCCCCAAGCACGGAGAGCCAGACTGCCCCGCGGCACCACACTCTGAGCCTGCGTTGTTTCGTGGCCCTGGCCACATCCACCCACGGACACACTCACAGGAACTTCCTATACACACTCCAGTCCACATCAAAGGGAGCTTGCGGCCCGGGTGAGCCTTCACCCCACCCTTCACTTTGTATGAGCACACAGACTGCTCAGGTTGCCAAGAATAAAGTCCGCCTGAATAATGTCACTACGTTACGTGACTTCTTTTTTTAAGAATTATTTTATTTTACTATATTTATTATGTATTTATTTATTTTAATTTGACCAGAAAGGGGCGGAGTGAGAGAAAGAGAGGGTAAGGGAGAGTAAGCTGCTGGGTCTGGCACTCGAACCGTGGTCAGCTATGGGGGAGTCCAGCACCCTTAACCACCGTGTCACCTGTTGGCCCCACTACTTTACATGACTTCTATGGAACAATTTATTAAATGTGATGTTTAGAATTTACCTTGAAGGGCTCTCCTAGAAAAGGTACCTTAGGGACTGGCAGGTAGTGTGGTGGTTAGGGGCACTGGATTCCCAGATGGCTGACCATGGTTCAAGTCCTGGACCTGGTGGTTTGCTTTCTCTCTCTCTTGTTCTCTCTTTCTCACTCACTTTTGTCTCTCTCTGGTCAAATTAAAATAAATAAATAAATAAAATTAGGGGACCAGCAGTTGGCATAATGGCTATGTCACTGGACTCCCATGTAGTCGACCAGGGTTCGAGTCCCGGACCCAGTGGCTTAAACTCACGCCAGTCATTGTGTGCGTGCGTGCCCAAGATCCCGAGAGGAGAATGGAGAAGGGACTGCAGCATGGCCATCCCCCCTGGGGAGTGATTTCTCACTTTCTGTCTCTGTCTGTCTCTGTCTTTCTGGTGAGTCCCATGTGCCCTGTAGGAAAAACCTCTAGAAAGAAAATAGAAAAACAACAACAACAACAACAAAAACCACAAAAAACTAAAACTTCTCTAAAATAGTTTACATAATTCTTGGGACCAGCAGTTAGAGTAATGGCTATGTCGCTGGACTCCCATGTAGTCGACTGCGGTTCAAGTTCCGGACTTGGCGGCTTCACGCCGGGCATGTGTGCGTGCATGCCCAAGATCCCAAGAGGAGAATGGAGGAGAAGGGATTGCCGTGTGGCCATCCCCCCCCACCCCAAGGGGTGATTTCTCGCTTTCTGTCTCACTGTCTTTCGGGCGAGTGCACGCACCCTATAGTGGAAAAAAAAATTTAAATAATTCTTAAAAATAAAAAGGAAAAGTGCCTTGAAAAGCGCTACAGGATAGTGGCTAGGCCTCTCACACATCAGCAAAAATGTGTGGCCCAGCCACTGAGGCTGAGAGTCAGAGCTAGACTGACTTCCTAGGGGCAGGCCACAAGACGGCCTCCGTAGCTCAACACTAGTCAATTTCAGGTTTAGCTCCAGAAAGAACTGGAGGACTGACACCTAACAAAGCTGGAAACAAAGACACATACACTTTAGGTGTGGATTTTTATTTTCACAAAAAGACAATAATGTCTTCCCACATACAAATATTTACAAAACCCAACTGATTCACCAATCTAGAACCTGGGTCTTTTCCACTTCTCAACATAGTTGGGAACATGGAAACATTAATACCCACACAATCCCCAGAGATGGAATTTACCCACCAAACAGTGCAGATTATCGTAAAGTGCACTTACCTGCACAACTCAGCCAAGACCCTCGTGATGCAAACCTCGCGCCAAGGTTTCACCCCTCTATTTGGTTTCATACCAGGCAAACCTGAACAAGTGCGCGGCTACACTCAACTGGAAATCAGCTCTCCTTGTACAATTAAAAAGGTTCTCAACACTTTAGCAACTATACAGAATATGAAGGTTTATTTCAAAAAAGATTACATTTTTTTAAACCAGGATACACAGATGCACTTAATGTAACAGTACCTTCTGCAAAAATAGGTTACATAATACTCAGAAATGCAAGGAACAATCTTATTCTCTAAAAATTAGACGGCAGACTTTTAAGCTTAGACAGCCTTCAAAATGGAGGCTGGAAACGCTTGGTGACAAGAAGTAACTCTCGAGCCTGACAGCACAGGGCTAATGCTGCAAATGGAACCACTACCACACGGCTGCAAACTACTCCTCAGATCCACACCGCAGGAGACACAAGTTTCTGTCCCACTCTTCCCAAATGTGTCTTGGTGCTGCAAGAAAAAGTTGAATAATACACAAAACTATTAAAAGTTACAACAGAACTATTTAAACATCTTCTCCAAAATTGAGAAAAGCAATCATGTTAAATTTTATAAAAGAAAAAAACAAAAAAAGTCTGACAGAACTCTCAAGCAAGTCAGAGGTCCTCTTCATAAGTAGTCAAGTAAAGTTTACAGGAGATTTCAATAAATTATCTTGAAACCATGGCAGAGAGCTCATCTTCAGAATCGTCGTGGAGGTCCACCCTTAAATGGCTTAAATCCAGAGCCACTTCCTCTTGGCATGGAATTGCCACTGATTTGTACAATTCTATTAATTGGGGATGCACTGCTGAAAAGAGTTTAACAGAAAAATATGTCAAAGAGCAGAGCACAGCAAATAACCTGTACAGCACCTCCCATTTTACCAGACACTTCGCGCTTCACCTGTATTGAATCACTTACTCCTGCCGACAATCCTATGACGTACATACCACTTCTAAACCCACTTCACTGATGAAGAAACTAAGACCTTGAGGTTAAGTAACTTGTCCACGGTCACAGAGCTAATAAATGGTTGAGTGGGGACTGATTTACTGATTGATTTTTGAGAGAGATTTTAGTATAGGGTGCATGCACTCACCAGAGACACAGAAAGTGAGAAATCACCTCCCAGAATGGATGGCCACGCTGCAATCCCTTCTCCTCCATGCTCCTCTTGGGATTTTGGGCACACACGCACCCATGCCCAGCATGAGTTTTAAGCTACCAGGTCCAGGACTCGACTGTAGCTGACTAGGTGGGAGTACAGCGATGTTACCATTATGCCATCGGCTGGTCCCGTGAAGTGCGGATTTAAACGTGCAACATCTCCTTTCGGTGGCCCTCCATTCCACAGGTTATTTGATGTCTACACATGGAGGACCAGCAGTTCTCCCAGTGTACACTTCAAATCAGCAGCACCAGCATGGAGAGAAGCTGGTTAGAAATGCAAATTCTCAGGGCCAGCAGGTGGTATAGAGGTTAAAGCAGCTGGATTCCACATGGCTGAACACACAGTTCGAGGCCCGGATCAGCAGCTTGAAAACCATGCTCGGCACAAGTGTGCCCCTGCAATGTGGCCATCCCCTCTGGGGGCTGATTTCACATGTTCCCTCTAACTCTCGCTCTGGCAAACACACTAAACCTGTGCCAAAAATCTTTAAAAACAAACAACCTCCACCCCCAGCTCACATCACCAAAAGAAAACCACTGGAATGAAACCACCAGTGACCTGTGTTCCAATGCGCCCTGGGGGCTGCTGTATACCAAAGCTTGACAATCTCTGAGTAGCAGCAAGTCACTGAAGAGGTATTTCTGGAATCTTTCTGCAATCTTATAAATAACACAACATAGTAGGGACTAGTGAGTGACAAGGGAAAAAAACCTCGCCAACAAAACCTACCAACAGAACTGAAATAAAATTCCACAGAGAAATGGTTTAAGTAGAATAAATGATTTATGGAAAGGTTAAAATGCTGCACTGAAGAACCTGTATTAAATCGTGTAACCTAGGAAAGGAACTTTTGCTTTCAGAGGGAGTAAATGATATAACAAAATGAATGTTCCAATAGTTAGTTAAATTTAGCAAGAATGTGAGTAATGAAGCAAGAAAAATGCTAATTTCGTAAGACAAAAACTGAAATAAGGAAGAAAGGACAGCTACTAGGAACGTTAAAAAAAACAACTGAATTACCCTGAAAACTACCAATATACGGTAAGAATGAAGAAAGACCACAAGGGCTTTATTTTTTCAGGTGGGGGAGTGAGATAGGAGGCGGCACTGGCAAATTAAACGAAGGTGGAAGCAAGAAAAGGACGTGAAGGCCCGGAACGGGAGGGGTGAGTTTGCCTGTGACCGTGAGTTTAAGAAGCCAGCAGGGGTTACGTGGAGATGGAGACGACAGACTAAACAGAAAGGGCGGTGGGGAAAATCACAGTGCCTTAGCAAACAGAACTGTTTCAGAATAAAGAGAAGCAACGATATGACATAGTGCTCAACCACCAAGAAGCCTAAGAAGGGACCAGTGGTTGACGTAATAGCCATGTTGCTAAACTCCCATGTAGTCTACCGCAGCTCGTGTTCTGGACCTGGTGGCTTAAACTCATGCCGGGTGCATGTGCATTCGTGCCCAAGATCCTGAGAGGAGAATGGAGGAGAAGGGACTGCAGCGTGGCCATCCCCCCTGGGGGGGTGATTTCTCACTTTCTGTCTCTCTGTCTCTCTCTGGCGAGCACATGCGTCCTATACCAAAAACCTCTCAAAAAAAAGAAGCCTGGGAAGTAGGAAAATAAAGAAATCTATTATTTTCAGTCGCAAAAAAAATCATCAGTGACCTTCAGAATCCAGACACAATAAGCGATGAGGCTGTCCAGGCTCAAGTGTAAGCCTCGCCAAGTCTGAGGTCGGTGTGACCAGTAACAAAGTAGTGACGGGTCACGGAGACAAGGGAGTAGGAAGACAGAGGACATAGGAGTGGGAAGCCTGAAGCCTGGCCCGACTGGAAAAGACAGAGATTGCTCTTTGGTCTCAGCCACAGAAGTGAGATGACGAAGGGAATGTCATCGTTTGGGAAGCGTCGCCGCTGCTGTGGTTCTAAGGCCTCTCACCTGCAGAAGCCGACCTGAAGCAAACATGGCTACCCTGCCAAGCGCGAGAGAACGTGTAACCGGACTGCCAAGGCTAAAAGGCGCACTACTGCTGGGACTGGTCGAATGAGGCACCTACAAATTGTATACTGCAAATTCAGGTGTGGATTCCATGAGGGAACAACAACCAAACCCAAGAGGGCAGCTGTTGAAGCATCCAGTTCATCTTAAGGATTTCAACGATTAGTCAGACAATAATTGTTCTTGGATTAAAAAAAAAAGAAAGAAAGAAAAGACAGGTTGGTGTGAAGGAAGGAAAGAAAAAAAAAAGCCTGCCTCTCAGCATAAGAACACGCTTTGGGTTAAATGACCAAACGATCTGCTTAAGTCGCTGGAAAGGGGACAAACAGAACACACTTTCGGTTTCGCCTTCCTCTACGAGAACTAAGGATTTCGGGAAAGCTACGTACTGAACACGATGATCATCCTGACAGGAGGCCCACGTTCATTATCTGGGGAGCTCTGACACACCCGTGCCTGCCCACGTGACGATCAATTCATTCCCTGTGCAGAATACAATCAACCCAGGACCAATGCTGCCCCACACTGCTCTCTGAGATTTGGAATTACTGTGGGCCAGCGTTCAGACAGACGCAGGGTTTCCACTAGCGGCAGTTCAATCTCAGAAGCCACCACATCCTTTAAGAAAGGATCAAGGCCTGGTGGCGCACAGGCAGAAGTAGTATTAATGGTGAGCTGCTTACCTCGAATGCGGGGTTATCATGCCTGCTCCTGCCCGGCCGTCACCCATCCGCCTTGCATCATGATAGCTAGGCCCTTGGGAAGGCGGACCGTGTCCGTGGTCCACTTGTGTCCCGGCCATGGCGGTCAACCACATGCTGATCTTCAGCATAGTGCTAAAAACAGCATATTAATAAAAATGTCAAGACAGTGATACACTCCGTCTCAGGTCGATGTTCTTAATCTTGTGTGCTGTCACCAAATAAATACCATGTCTGAGAAAAGGATGAGTACTACAAAGCACATAAAAACAGTGTCCGCCATTTTCAAGTGAGACGCTCATGAGGATCCAAGGTAGGGTTTGGGGGAAAGGATTAAGCGCTTTAATTTCTATTTCTAGCACTCAATCACTTTCGACCCTTCAGAATTTCAAATGTCTGGATTTATAGATAAGTAACAAGGCCCAGCCCAGGAGGTCAAACCTTAGACAACAAGGGCCAGGCTTATGGTCATGTCAAGGCAACACACACAACAAACAAACAAGGGTTGTGAACTTATTTTACCTACTACTATTCGGTTGTCAGAAAAGTCAGGGCATATTTTTCTATGCCTTTGTATGTAAAAAAGCGTCATGACTTTTCCAACAATCCAATAGTTGGTTCTGTGGCTCTTACAAGGTACTGTGTCCGCAATGATGAAAAGCAGAGTAGTAAAAACACAAAAGCCAGGAGCCAGCAGGTAGCATGGGGGTTAAAGCACTGGAATTCCCACATGGCTGATTGTGGTTCGAGTCCTGGACCTGGCAGCTTGCTTTCTCACTCTCACTCTCCCTCTTTCTCTCTGGCAAAACTCATGTGAAATAAATTTTATTTATTTAAAATAAAAAGCCATAGAACTAATAATCTACAGAATAAAGGGTAGAGAGTTATGCCACTTAGCCTACAGGAAACAAATCTGAAAGTATCCCACAGAGAGGTTTAACAACGTGTAGACTTATGTAATGAAAAAGAGAATTTTCAGGGAGGATTTTGATCTCCACCTCAAGACTTCTTTTCTAAAAAGGGGGGGTCAGTAGGAGGCATGGTGGCTAAAGCGCTGGACTCCCACATGGCCAATCACAGTTCAAGCCCCAGGTTTGGCAGCTTACTTTCTCATTTTTCCTCTCTCTCACTGGTCAAATAAAAATTAATTGAATTTAATAATTATTAAAATAAAAACAAAACAAAACAAAACAAAACAAAACAAGAAGACATTTGGGGACTAGCAGGTGGTGTGGTGGTTAAAGGCACTGGACTCCCACATGGTCAACTGCAATTCGAGTCCTGGATCGAGTGTCTTGCAACCCATGCTGAGAATGCATGCTTATGTGCCCAATATCCCAGGAAGAGAACAGAGGAAAGAACGGTGTGGCCATTCTCCCTGGAGGGTGATTTCGTACTTTCCCTCTCAATGTCTCTCTCTCTGGTGAGTGTACATGTCCTATGGCACAAACCTTAAAAAAAATAAATAAAAGATACCCGAATGCACGAGGCTAGTCTCTGAGACTTCATCTGGATTATACAGTCACTCTTTTTAAAAAAATATTTCTTAGAGAGCTATAGGATGCATGCACTCATTGGAGAGACTGAGAAGAACAGAGACAAAGTGAGAAATCACCCTCCCAGGGGGATGGCCACACCACAACCCCTTCTCCTCCATTCTCCTCTCAGGATCTTGGGCACGCACGTGCACGTGCTCAGTGTGACTTTTAAGCTGACGGGTCCAGGACTTGAACCACAGTGAACTACATGGGAGTCCAGTGATGTAACCCTTGTGCCATCTGCTGGTCCCCATTCATTCTTAACAACTCTGTTCAGGGATTGACCCAGAGCCTAGTGGTGAAGGGAACCAGAGCCCACCTGGCTGACTGCAGTTCAAGTCCAGTGCTGGCTTGAGAAACATAATAGGGAGGGTGTGTGTGTGTGTGTGTGTGTGTGTGTGTGTGTGTGTGTAAAATTCAGACAGAATTGGAGAAGGAGAAATGGAGAAGAGGGACTGCAGCATCACGTCTCACTGAGGGGTGCCTTTCCTTCTCCCTCTCTCTCTAGCAAGTGGACATTCCTCTGGCAATTAAAGAAAGGTCCTTTTAAGGGTAGTCAATAAACTCACTTGTCAAATATTTGAACTTATTAGAAATATTAAAATTTATACATAAGGGCCAAATGTACTTCATGAACACTCTACATGAAATGTAAGATGCTGGGGTGAGTCAGGTAGTGTGGTGAAAAATGCTAGACCCACATGGCCAACGGTGGTTCAAGTCCCAGACCTGACAGCTTGAAAATCACTCCAGGTCTGTGTGCGTGTGCCCAAAATCCAAAGAGGAAAATGGAGAAGGGATTTATGGCCTGACCAAAAAAGCACCCCGGAGGTGCTCTCCTGCTTTCTCTCTGTCTCTAGTCAGTATATGCATCCTATAGAAAATTAAATAAATAAATTTAAAAAATAAATGAAAAAGCTATGCATGGATTTAAAAAAAAAATGTTTCGCACCAAAAGAAATTCATAGCACCGCCACTGTGGCACCACAGTCACGCTAATGCCCACCCGGCAGTGCTGGATGCCATGTGGAGGCTGAGGGGCAGATCCTGAGTCAGCCTGGAGAGCACACGCCTGCATGTGGGCACCCGGGATCCTGAGGAGCTGGGGAGCTGGGGAGCTGGGGAAGGGGATCGCACGGTGGGACCGTGTCGAGGGGGCTTTCTCTCTCCCTCCCCCCAACTTCATGCATGTGTACATACTTTCTGTCATAAAAACAAAGGGAAAAAATTTAAACTCATATTTAATTCCATTTTCCATGAATTTCTGAGGTCCTCTAGTAAACAACGACAACAAAAACAAAGGTTGTATTTCAGTTCTACACGTAATAGGCTACTAAAACAAGTAGAAAAGAAAGGAGATTTAAAAAGAAAGGAAAAAAAGTAAAGTGAAATGGAAACAGGTAGGGGCCAGATTTCTCATTCAGTTTGAACGTGCCAACTTCTTAAAAAGAAATTAAACCGAAGTCAACACTAGGAAGGCTTGTTAAACCAAATGTGACAAATCTCAAATGTTAACAGGAAATTTAGTAACAATGGAGTATTTTGAAGCTAGTATCCTACTTCCCTAGACTACTCATGTTCAACCTCTGACAGTAAAATATGAGGAAAAATTAGAATTTTTGTAAGACACTATCTCTGTGCTTTGTCATGAATGTAGGCCGTCAAAATCACACACACACAGACACATGCACACACGCTCTCACAGTCCTCTAACTCCATTTCTAGAGTTGACAGCAAACCTTCCTCCACATGCACTTACCTGGGCTCCGCTTCCTCGGTCTGTGATTACTCTGTCTCCCTCTCTGCTGCCATAGCCAGAGGCACTGCTGCGACTCCCAGGGGGCGCGCCTCTCACACTGTGTCCTGACACTTCTCTGCCAGATCGTTCTGGCCTTTCAACTCTGTTAAACAAAGCACAAAATCATGTAAGACCACAACTTTATTAACAGTTCTTTAAAAACCAAAATGCACCATCTACCACTAGGGAGACGTGAAACGACACACGAGTACCTGGCTTCCCGTTTGTCGGTGGACATGCCTCCTTCGCTTTTCCAGCTGTTTGGTCTAGAAGGATTGGGCCCTCCTTCTCGAGGATGTCTGGGGTGAGCAATATCAGGTCTGTCATGAATGATCACTGTTCTCCTTTCATCTCGTTCCCCACGAACTTCTCGTCTGTCTGTTTCTCTAAGTTCATTTCTTGGTGGTGGAGGCTCATTTCTTCTGGAATCACTGAAACTTTTGGGATACCTTTCAAAGCTTGGATCTTCTCTTCGTGCAGTAGGTCGTGTTTTCTTGCCTTCACTTTGACCAACAAAGCGCTCCCGCCTATTGATTGGTGAAAAAACATAGACCTGAGAGGTACTTAACTTTATTTCCTAACCTATAATGACACTTTTTCAAAAATGAATTTAAAGCAAAAACAATAAAAAAGCCAATTACGGATAATAATAAGTCATTTTCTTTTCTTTCTTTCAATTGTCAGAGGGCACGTGTGAGAGGGACAGCGAAAGATAAAAGGAAAACATGCACGCAGCACTCCTGGTGGGGCACAGCTATGGTGCAACTTTCCTTTCCTCAGTCCTTCCATCCTTTTATGGTCTGGGGCATACACACATGCATGGCGTGAATTCCAACCTGCCGGGGCCAGGATTCAAACAGCGGCTGGCCATGTGGGATCCAGCTCCCTACACACCGTGCTTAACTGCTCCACTACAGAGCTGGTTCTCACTTTCTTTTAGTTAATTAAGCTTAAGGACATGAGGACCAGCTTTTTAGCATCCAGAAAAATGACAAACACTCAAGCCTCTACCAACCTAAAATGTTTTACTATTAACAGTTGAGGCACACCCAAAGATATCAGCATCCTCATTCTCCTTCTTATCTTTATAAGAAGATAAAGCCAATCTACTTAACCTTAGGTTATAGTTGCCTATTTAACTAATCCTGAACTGACTCACATTCTCATACATACAAAAAACCCCCATATAATTTGTTCTCAGCACTTAGTTTTGATCTATATTTCTTAAACATTTAATAGAGAACTGAAGGGGCCAGCAGTGGTGTGGTGGTTAAGGTGCTAGACTTCCACACGCTAACTACGGTTCAAGTCTCAGGCATGGCAGCTTGAAAATCACACCAGGTACATATGTGTATGTGCCCAAAATCCCAGGGGGAGAAGGGATTCAAGTGTGGCCATCCCTCTGGAGGGTGCCTTCTCATCTTCCCTCTCACCTTCTCTCTCTAATAAGAGTATATACCCTGTGACCAAAAAAAAAAAAAAAGAACTGGAGTTATCACTAGTAAAACTCACATACTAAATATAACCAATTAGAATATATCAGCCTACCTTTCAAAAGATGAAGACTGTACTGAGGAACTCTCAGGAAACCTGCCCCTCTCTCGGTGATCAAAGTCATTGAATCTGTTCTGCTGGCGGGAGTAGTCAGATCCATGGCCAAATCGTGCATCTGTATCTAGAGACAACTTTTTATTCTCGCTCCAGTAAGGATCATCTCGCCTTAAAAGAAAAATATTTGCTCATTTATAAAAGATAGTTTTATAATACTCCAACAACACTCACTTGATGTCGCACATACCACTGGTCAGAACTGTGGACACATGAAGGCTAATAAACTCAAGACACGACACACTGTTAGGAGTACGAGCTAGCAGGGTATTAGTTAAATTATGTCAAGTCATATAGTGTTAGAGGAATTTAACACAAGAGAAACAGTTGAAAACTGTCTGTTTTAAAATTAGTAAGTGGAAAAGACACTAAGATAAAATATTTGACACTATTTCATAATAAAATTCTAACCAGTAGTCTACAACCTTTCCAGTTATCTCTGAAAAGGTTAGAGAGGTTAAGTCCCAAGCATAATTCATTCATTCCACCTATTTCTCCATAATCAACTAAGTTGCCCAGAATTTACATCAGAAAATTACCTACATCTATATTTTTAATCTATTAAGAAACATTAATGCAAACACACAGCAGAGGCTCCCAGTTTATGATTTTTGTTTCTATACTATCCACTACTCTGTAAGAACTTTCTAAACGAATCTAAGAACCATTAAGTCTACCATGCTGACGATTTCTAGTCATAAAGAAAAAAACACTGGAATTAGGAAGGGAAAAAAGGAAGAGCAAGCTCTTCTACCTTGACAATACACTGGGTCCACTCCAGTACCGTAACCCTTCCCCCTTCCCTGTTGATCATAAACTTTCATCTCAGTGATGGAAGCGTGGACCTCCCAATTCTCTAGCCCTGCCTTGAAGGAAGTAAGACAGGAAGTATAACTTTAGAAAAGTAAAAAACTACCTATGATCTACATCACGTGGGCGTTTCAAAGAATTCCTTTTTTCTTGTTCATAACGAAGCTGCTGCTGTTGCCTTCTGAGTTCCTCTCGCTCTCGAGCAATCCGTTCAGCTTCTTTACGACGTTCCTTCAGACAACACAGAAGGAAGAACCAACCAATGCAAAATGAAAACATAAGGTGAGTATATATGTAACCTTGTTTAGTTCTATCATTAAGAAACTATCATAGGCAAGCACAGACAAAACACACACCTGGGACAAATAAAATAAATAAAATCGATTTCAATAATCTAGGCTATGGCTGTTGTTCTGCAACACTGAAAATAACAGGAATTGGGTAGTGAAAGCTGGCAAATATTTCAAATGGTCAGATTTAGTTTAATCTGTGAATAAAATAAAGCAACTAAAGGGAATTAGAAATAGAATTCATATGTATGGAGACTAAATGCCTTAAATCCCTAGGGTTGCAATTCTGCAGAGAGGCATTACTTCCTTCCAGTCTGGGGAAATCATTCCCACTATGATATGTAAGGAGTTACATTTCTCAGACTGGGATAGTGACAGAGCCTGGATTACAACTACTCTGGACTCATAGTCCTATGCTCAGACTATTAGGCTGCCATGATATTGCAGAGCTGGAGTTATTACCAACAATCTAGAACAAAGCCACTACAAAACATATTTTTAACTACTACCTAACTTCACTGTTATCATTCAGGAACACTTAAATGTTCATTAGCTGAATTCATTCAATAGAAGCTTTACAACAAGTAAAGCAAATTTTAGGGCAAAAATGACAGGATTTGAAAAAAGGTGAGTTATTTAAGAGGAAAAGATTTTCTGACTGCACCTGTTCAATACGAATGCGTTCCCTTTCCAAGCGTTCGCGTTCCATTCTCTCTCTTTCTAGTTTTTGCCTTTCAATTTCTAGACGCTCTCTCTCTCTCTGTAAGCGTTCCCGTTCTTCCCGTTCACGAATTATTCTAATGCGTTCCCGCTCTCGACGCTCTCTTTCTGCAATCTCTCTTCGTCTAACAAAAATCAGTATTTAGAAATAACTTAAATTATGCTAGCACTGGGTGAAAGATAATAGCTTTTTAATTTGAAATTTTCCTCAAGTTTGGCAATTTTAAAATTCAACTCAGTCTAAGTAGTTTTAATGTAATTGGAAAGAGAACTCAAAATAAAACTTTAAACAGATTTCAATACTGTCACTTGCTTATATAAGACTGTCAACTGAGCAGGTGAATTTTATATATGCCTTTTAGATGATTCCTGTTTAAATAAAATTCCCACTATAAAAGCCCATTAATTGACATTTTTAAAGAAGTGATATTCCACATATATATATAAATTTACAAAACTATGACTCTGTCGATTGTTTCTGATAAAAAAACTCCAATGTCTAATGATATAGTCTTATCTCTTTAAACAAAGTATATGGGGAGGACTTCAAAAAGCTCAAGGAAAATGGAATTAAATTCCAAGTTTATTTTAATGTGAAAACATTTTGAAGTCCATGCAATTTTTTCCCTTACATACATTTTCCATAGAGTTTTTGAAGACTCCCCTCATAGGCTTTATTTGGAGGACTTGGGACTATAACCACACAACGGATAAATACAACAAAATGGTGACATTCAGGGCTCTTCTAGAATACTCAATGGCCCAGTAGTAGATGGCTCCAGGACAGCATGCTTTTCAGAGTCAGAAGTAAATCGTGTGCTGAGCTGAATTAAATTATTGTACTACATGTTTCACTGTGTTTCTGTCATGTCCTCACTCTAATGCAGTCAGTGTGCTTTGCCTTTTAGACTGACTTCCTCTAGCAACCCAGTACTTCTCAATGGGTCAGCTCTATCTGCATGACACAGACGGGGCATTTGTAATTACAACAAGGACCACGGGCCTGTTATTAACATTTAGTTGAAGGGTACCAAGGATCCTAAATAGCTTGATACCTGGAATAGTCAGGACAGTCCTACATAACAAAACCTAGCCACTGTTCATATTTTTTGAATGCCACAATGTGCATTTATTTCGGTAAGTTAAAAAATAACAAATCACCTTAAAAAAATCAGAGTCTAGAACTTAACTCCATATTTAATTAAAGCCAGGCTTGGAGTGCTTTGGCAAGGCTTTCCACAAATGAAAATTTCCACAAATGAAACTCCATGTAAATACATGGAAAATTATACTTTTTTGAGAAATCCAGCAAGAACTGTTGACCATTTCAGAAGTTGTTATGACGATGCCATCACCACTCCTGGTGTTTGACACGTACACTCCACTGTCAGCCTGTAGCTGTCCCATTCTCAGTGAGTCTGAATGGGATGCAGACGTGACTACTTTATTAAATCTAAAGTGCATATCCTGAATACATGTTTTAAATACTATTGATTTCCCACTACATGACAGGGAAGACGTTCCGATGACTTTCTGGAAATGATTTGTGTAGGTAGGCGTTAGGCATCAACCTCATATCCAGAGAGTAAAGAGGGCATCACAACACTTTACACAAGGGATGCTGGTGTGGCAGGTTTAAGAATCACCACTCTAGAAGTTCCCCAGCCAACATTCTCCTGACCTGTTGTCCACTAAATAAACCAGGAAGCTAAGCATGTTGAGAATTCATCTTTAAAAAGGGAAAATGGGTGTTGAGTAATGTAGCATTATTTCCTCTTACTAAGGTTGTGTGGCAATTTTATCTTCTAAAATTAGTAAAAGTATCTGGTCACTCCTAAGACTTCCGTGAGTGAATAGATGAAACCCCATGATAAGTGACCTCTGGACAAGACACGTTAACATTTGAAAAAATACATTGTAAAACCCACTCATAAGAATATTTTAAATGGCATACAAAAATTGATATACGAAAGTAAACTGGCACTCACGATAAACTGCTGAAATAGTCCCACTAAAATAGAAACATCTTGAGTTCTATGCCTTTCTTTTGCTTTAAAGAGAATGTTTGTTTGGGGACAGAGTGAAAAACAGCAATGCTCATAGGGCAGATCACCCTTACTTGGACACTAATCCAAAAAATAATAAATTTTGACTAAATTTGGTGTTAAAATTTCAATGCAGTATTTAAAGACTGGAGCTTACTCTGAAACTATATTATTCTCAAAAATCAGTATTATTATTTTTTAAATGGCAGCAGCTTTGGAGTAGAGGAAAGAGCATTGGACTTGGAGTCAGAAGACTTGGGTCTAAGTCCCGACTCTGCCACTCAGAACCACGCAGCATTGGAAGAGTCATTTAGCCTCTCTGGGCCCTTTTCCCACAGCTATGTAATGGGTCTGACTGACCTAACAGAACTGCTGAGTTGGAGATAACAGGGGAAAAAGCACTTTGTAAACTATCAAATTCTATAAAAGTTAAAAAACCATTAAATGTTACCATATTTCCCTAAAGTGACAAAGTTCTGTGGGAATACAATTTCCAGAAATCTGGTTTATAACTAGTGTTCAAGATATACTTCTAATTAAAGACAGACAGACAACACACTCCTTTCCTACCTTCGAAGTTCCATTGCTCTTCGAAGTCTCTCAAAACGAACGAGATGTTCTCTTAGTCTTTGTTCCTTCATCTTTTCAAAAGGCAATATCTCTTTCCTTCGGTAATCTTTGTCCCTTTTTTTATCTAAACTAGCTCTCTCTTTTTCCTTGCTTCTTCCATGAATCTATTAAAAAAAATTATAAGAGGACCAAAAATTAAAGTAATTTTGCATTTTGTTTTTCAACTTTCAATTGGTCATTTCAAAAGTTTTAATAACATTTCTTTATTCCTAGATTTTCTGCCAGGAAAGCATGCAGAACTGGTAACAAAGATACAGAATTATCTTCCTGTGGAAATTAGTAATAGAATGTAGAACATGCCTTAGATACTTACTTTCTCATATCTTCCTCTTCTTGATGGCCTACAATGATCACCTTTAGTTTGGTCTAATATTACCATATGTCCTGGACTCTTTGAACCTAAGAGACAAATATATTTAAATAAACAAAAAATTTAGAAATATTTCATTGAAAAATAAAATGTAAAACAAACTGAATTTTTGGATAGCAACACAGTCACAAACCAAAACATGCAATAAAAACCTTATTTTACTGGATCTTAAGTGCAAACTTTTTGTTTTTCTATAGAGGACATGTACACTTGCCAGAGAGAGGGAGAGAAGAAAGGACTTCCTACGGGGAATGGTCATGCCACAATCCCTTCTCTTTCATTTCTCCCTCCATTCGGGGGTTTGGGCTTGCTTGTGCACATGCTAGGTGTGTTTCTCAAGCCACCAGATTCTGGAATCAAACCACATGGTTGGCCAAGTGGGGTCCAGCTGCCTGAATCAGTGGGCCATGGAGCCAGCTCACAAACAGTTTTAAATACTGGGTTGCCAGAAAAGTCATGACCCATTTTTCTGGTTTTCTATGCAAAAACATACCATGACTTTTACAATGACCCAACAGCTAGCTCAATCTGCTAACATAAGTACTTTCAGTGACGCTAAAGGATCCTAACTCAGTACTATAAATCACTGACCATTTTAAGTCAGCCCATATTTAACAGTAATGGAAAGCTTAGAACATCACATTTGATTCCCATGTGTAGAAAAGGAAAAGATACTTTAGTCCTACTACCATAGTGGCATCTAACAACAAAGCTTAAATATTACAGTGGATTGTAATCTCAGGTTTTTCCTTAAATGTCAAAGTTAAACAGTGGAATGTATACAAAAGGGATTGAGAAGAGGCTACATAGCATACTTATTCGCTTCTTTTCTTCACTTTTTTTAACTGATTCCGAGGTTTGGCCACTTGCTGCATTATCATTCTTCTCATCTTTACTTTCTATTTTCTTAGTATCCTTGCTTTCTTTTTTTTCAGATTTTTCAGATGATCTCTTTTCTTCTTTTTTTACAGAAGTTTGTGTCCTGATCATACCACCCAAGACAAAAAAACAGAATAAGAACTACATCATTAATGTACCAAAAGTCTACCTGTTTAGCAGGGAAAAAAAAAAAAATCCTTACTTGCTACTTCTATCACTCATATTTTTTTTATCACCAGAACTTCTGGAACTACTCTTTTCATCATTTTCTTTCTTCATTTCTTTTTTGGAAGGATCACCTTTTACCTGAAAGGTTTAAACCAGAAAAAAATAAAATCTGAGTAGAAGATTATTAAATTATAAAGTGAAAATATAAACGTGCATATATAAAAAATCTTTTAATTGAGAAGTACTAGCCATCAAATTAACCTCCCTTTTATAAGCAGTTAAGCAAGCTTACTTTTTCGACAGAAATCAGCTGTCCGTGCAGCTCAGTGCGATGAAGGTGTGCAATACACCGGGACACTTCCGTGCTCGAAGACATAGTTACGATGCCATAGCACTTCGCCCCAGGACTTCGAGCATTTGTAACCACCTTTGCACTAAGAACCTACAAAATGAGGTCATACTTTAGAAAGACTAATGCCTTTACAACTACACATATTTGTAAATACGTGAGTCTTCACAGCTAAGAGTATTCAAACTAAAAGACAATCAGGATATTTTATTTCAGGAAAGATAATCAATTCAAGGGCTTACGTTGTAAGTTTGCTGTTTCATATTCTACTGATCACTGTTAATCTTGCTTGTAAATACTTAGTAAATATTCAGGTGAATAATTTAAGGGGTTGAAACACAATTCCACAGGCTCAGCCGCAGTGGCATATGCGGCCAAGATGCAGTGCTCTGCAGGCTGAGACCGCATGGGAGGCCTAAGCTCTGTTCCCCATCCACCTAAAGACCAGGCATGGAGTGTGCACCAATAGTCCCACACCTCCGAAGGCTGAGGCAGGAAGATCTCAGGCTTGAGGCTGGCACAAGTAATGCAGTGAGATCCTGTCTAAAAAGGAACTGGGTGTGGTGGCATGTGCCTGCAGTCCCAGCTGGGAGGCTGAGGCAGAAGATTGAGATGGCAAGACCCTGCCCAAATGAAACAAAAACAAGCTTCGCCTATTTTTTTTGGTTTTTATTTATTCCTTTCCCCAAAACATATAGAATATAACCACATCAAAGAACTAATGGTATCATTAACAAAAGCAAAGAAATTAAATTTGGACCAAAATTTCCTTATCATAGATCCACTCCACATACCACAGAGAAACACAGTAAGGTCTAGATAGTTTATAGATGAGTATTAACACTTTCCTACGAGTTACTTTGTATTTCACAAATCAATAATGAACTAGTCACATGAAAAAGAAGACTTCAAGATACACCCTAAAAAATGCACCCTAAAACTTAAAATATACATGGGGGGTAGCAGGAGGCGTAGTAGTTAAAGGCACTGGACTCTCATATAGATGACTGTGGTTCAAGTCCCAGACCTGGTGGCTTGCTTTTCTCACTTTCCCCCTCTCTCTTTCTTTGTCTCTCTGATCAAACTGGAAAATAATAATAATAAAGTTAAATAAAATAATTCTTTAAAATAAAACTTGAAAGACACTACCCATTATGTGCTTTTAAAGTGACAAATTAATTTCAATACTAGAAGACGGATAGTTAAGAGACACAATAGGGATGGATAAATGAAAAGAAAAGTTAGAACAATCCAGTGCTAAACAAAGAGGAACAAAGACATAATGCCAAGAAGAGGTAAAAAGGGAATTTAAAGGTTTTTACAATGCAACTGGCTGGAAACAATCAGATTTTATTACAACTTTGAGAAAGGTGGTTTGTCCCGTAGTAAAACCTTAATAGCAAAATTTAGTTACATAGGAAGAAATTAATGTATGACACATTTTTAAAAAGAATTACTCATTTAATTTTATTTATAATTATTTTCCAATTTGCTACAGGGCACACACACTCAACAGAGAGAGAGAGAAAGTGAGAAAGCAAGCTGCCAGGTCTGGGACTTTAACCGCAGTTGGCAATGTGGGAATCCCACATTTCAACCACCGTGACACCTGCTGGTCTCAGCAACTTACGAACCAGGTCTTGTTATCAAGTGAATGGCATCCTTTTATAGTTTCAGTGCCAATAAATGCTAACATTAAAATATAGTTTTTTGGGCCAGCTGATAGTGGGCTGAACTGCACGTGGCTGACAGCACAGTTCAAGTCCTAGACCCCATATCTACCATGGTCAATTATGGGGCTACAGTTCTTAGTGTTCTGTATCTGACAGCTAAAAGAACCTCCTGGATGATCAGAAAACTTAAGAGGAAAAAAAATAAACCCCCTAAGAGCAACAGGACAGGTTTTTATAACATTCATTAATTGATTGCTATTTACCAATAATGGTAATTGATTTTTCTTTCTATTTTTAAAGAATCATTTTATTTGACTTTATTTATTTATATATTTATTTTAATTTGACCAGAGAGGGGTAGAGCGAGAGAGCAAGAGCAAAAGAGAGAGAGAAAGCAAGCCGCCAGGTCTGGAACTCAAACTGTGGTTGGCCATGCGGGAGTCCAACACCTTTAACCACCATGTCACCTGCTGGCCCCAGTGGTCATTGATTTAATAAGTACTTGAAAGCCTATCATGTACATATAAAGTATAGCAGGATAAGATCCGTGCTCACAAAGACCTTCCATTGAAATAAGTTACATAGCATGCATATGAAAAACTAAATAGAAGTAGAAAGGATTGAGTGTCCTGGAATCCAGATAAGTCACAACTGGGTGCAACAGCTAAGAGCTGAATAGTCTTTGACTACTTCTCTTCATTTAGGTTTACCCCTTAAATCCAGAAAAACTTTCATGACCCAACCACAGTAGACACAGAGAGAGAAGAAAAGTGAGAAAGCAAGCCACCCGGTCCAGGACTCGAACCGTGGTCAGCCATGTGGCAGTGTCCAGCGCCTTAACCACCGCGCTACCCACTGGTCCCAATACTTCACACTCTTACTTCATAACACATATGACAACTTCTGATTTAAGTACATATACAAGGGAATTCAAAAAGTTCATGGGAATAGAATTAAAGTATATTAGTTTCAGCTAGACCCCATGCTGGAGACTAGAAAAAGCATGATGAATGAAACTCAACCCTTGGCTTAAATGGGTTTGAAACTTCAGAATACAAAGATCTCTAGGGCTCAGTGAGATTCATGATGAAATGACATTTAACTCCAACCCTAATCTACCATTGCCACACAACATAGTAATTATGTTTTTAAGAGTTCTACAAGTTACAGGAAATTAGAAGATTTTTTAGGGTTTTTAAAAGTGTGTTCATTGATTTCTTCCATGACAAAGGGACAAACAGGAGGGAGAAGGTGGGCAGAGGGGACACGTGTCCTCCAACAGGGTCTTCATGCCTCAATCCATCCCTTAACCCCAGCCAGCTTGGATCACTGGTACACAGACGCATACATCCAGTGTGCACACGAGGGTCCCAGGATGTCAGTTAGGGCCCTTCCCATGTAAGTCCAGTTGTATTACTGCTGCACCCATGTCTGACCCGTCAGATAGTTCTAGTGCTTGAATACACTCCTGTTTCAAATGCAGATACTAGAAAGGTGGATAAATAGGGGGGAAAAAAAAAGTACCTTTCCATATTTGCCAAAGAGGTTCTTCAAATCAGCAGCTTTGGTATTAGAAGAAAGTCCACTAACCCAGATATTTTTAGTTGAGCTTCCACTGCTACCACTAGTACTACTTGTACTTCCTGGAACAGATTTAATATCAGATGTTTAAGTATATTAGTCAATTTTTATTTCTGCAAATGATAAGGGCCACATTCTTTCAAAACTATAAAATTCTTTAATTTTGGTAGTATGATTTGACTACATCGAAATCTTATGAATATGCTCCTGTTAAGATCAAACATAAAAAGACAATATAACTCCTGAGGAAACAGAGTACTTGTACACTTATTGCATGAGTTATAAGAGAAAATGGACTTTTGCTGTTAAGTTTAAATAATTTACATTCTAACATTGTACTGAACACAAGTACCCAAGAAGCAGTACTTTTGGAATGAACAGACTGCTTAACTGCCACATCTGTTGTGGGCTTTAGATTCTGAGAAAGCAGAGTAAAGACGGAAAAGTCAGGACAAGAGTCAAGAATTTAAATGATTAGTAACAAAGACTAACCAACCAGTTCACCTTCATTCTCTAGTAGATAAAGGGCAAGAGAATATGGGGGTTATATAAAGGTGGATAAATGGGAATTTCATTTTTTAAAAACTGCTAAAAAAAAATGGTAAGAATAAGATCAGACACTTCAAAATCCTTTAGAATCAGTAAATAATTATATGAATCATTTCTGTACTACCTGCATGCATAAATTCTGGTTTCATACATCTAGATAACATAACTCAGAATACAGGCCTGGACAAGTACCCTTGGTTGCTTTATTCAAATGGGCCATTATAGGGGAATTTTCATTCGTTTGTCTTTATTTGGAAAACAATTCTTAGCCATTCTAAGAGAAACAGTCTGTAAACAATTAAAAAGGAACCACCTCTATAATTTCACATTGTTACATATAGTAAAAATTAAATTTTCAATGCTTTAAAAATTTCCATGACACAGTACTAACAGATGGTAAACTCTCACTTTAGATTTATGAGAAAGGAGACAACAAATATCTGACTCAAATATTTTAAATATTAACTGTAATTTTCTATTCCTAAGAGAATTCATCAGAAGATCTACTATATCTTATGAAATCTTAACTAGAAGCCTATGTATTTTTTTTCTTGTTACCAATACTATTTAGGCCCAAGTACTTTTCTAATTATAGCAAAAAAAAAAAAAAAAAAAAAAAAAAAAAAAAAAAAAAAAAAAAATTTTTTTAGTAATAGGAAAAAAGATAATATTTAACCCAAGACTACTAAGCTTTTTAATTTGAAAGGTAATATTTTACACATTTACAGCATCTTAACTATTACTCCAAACTGCAAAGAATATGAAAATGATGACTGTCAACTACTAAAGCAAAGCACTGTGATTCCCCATTATTAATATCCCCAATCAGACACACTAAATGAACCAGAGAGGATGTATACAGTGCTCCTACAGACACTAAGGAGATATTATCAGACCCCGCATTCCCTGGATGGAATCTTTTCCCTGATAATGCTTATTATATAAAATAATAAGTATTTTCCAAGTAGACACAAAACATGCATAAACAAAACTCATGAGCATGAGGAATCAGAGATTTCCCACTAGCAAAAAGCAATCAAATACTGTATGTTGAAACGTTTAAGAAAATAAAATGAAAATATTATCCTATGTAAGATGATGATCAACCCCAAATAAGTCAAATTAGGAAGTAAATTTTGAAGAATTAAAACATTAACAGAAGTGTGCCCTGATTTTTTTTTTATGCAAAGTAAAATGGAACATTAGAGGATGATTTTCTTTTAAACACTAGACTCCATAAATACACACAAGTATTATTTATAGCACATTCCCACTAGACAGAACAGGAAAAAGGTGGTGGTGATGGAGAATGGTTATGAACGACTGCAACTAAAGATAAAATATTCTAAAATTGTAAGTAAAGGACATATCTATAAATATTCAACACAGACACTTAAAACACAATAGCAACTGCATTTTTAACATACTCATACCAGTTTACTAAGTAATTAAAAAGTAAAGCTGCAATCACACAGTTTGGTGTAATTTCTCTAATTCCATACTTTACATGAAGGCCATCCAAAGTTCCTAGTCTGTCAATCAAACTTGTAAGGATTAAACATCAAAGGAAATCTAGGCACTGACTACTTTTTAATATAAATATGCAATGCTACCATCAAAATAAATAGAAAAAATATCCATTACCTTTGTCATCTTTAGATGATGTCTTGTTGTCTTTAGATTCCTTTGAAGAGCTAAAGAGGCAAATCATCAGAAGAAAATTGAAAACAAAAAAACAAAAAGAAACACAAAAATCCAACAACTTGATATTGACTATATTTCAAACTAGTGCTATTCACACAAGTTAACAATTTCAAAGGCCTAGATTAGGTTATTTGAACAAATGACTCCCTTAGGATTCTTGCACTGATTTTCCCCAAGATGCCTGAAGATCTAGATTTTCTGACAATTCTATTCAGTGGATATATGGCCATCTTCTCCAGATTTCAGGACTGGGACTTGACTTCATTTTGTGTTCTTAGAACTGATAGTTGTTCATTAACCATCATCACAAGGATTTTTTTTTTTAAAATAAAACACAAAAAATCGTCAATTTGAAAAAAAAAAAAAAAAACAAAAACCAAATATATGCTGACAATTCGACAATGCAATCGGTAGTACACACTGCATATTATGAAGATCTTGAAAAAAATGTTTAAAGTAACTTATGACGGTCAAAAATATATAGGCAGGATCATAAGACACTAATTACTGTACATGGTCTTGAAGCCACCCCCTTAATGTAGAGTGATCTTATTGAATGCTGGAATTCAGTATCGTAAAGAACTGACATAGAAAAACAAACCTCTTTGCTTGACCAGAGGCCCCAGTAGACGAGGGCCCTTTCTTCAAAGTATCCTTTTCTTTGTCTCCAGATTCGGCTTTCTTAGAACTTTCTCTGGCTTCCTTCTCGACAGGATCACCCTTCACGCAGTCTTCCTTCTTACCATCTTTATGGTTCGCATTCATCTCATAATCCTTGTTTTCCTTCTCCGGGCTCTGTGCAATGGCGTCCTGCCCATCTTTTGGCTTACTTGCTTCAGAATCTGTAATTTTCACATTTTTACCTGTTTCTAGGAGGTCATCACCATCAAAATCCAGAGTGATGGCATCTTCAGCCTGGATTGTGACCGAGATGTTGTCATCCTCAGCTTCTTTCACAGTCGCATTAACTTCCATCTCTTCATGAGCTGTGTGATCAGCCTCAGCTAGGTTCCCTTCTGAAGGAAGAGGTTTAGATACTTCTTGTGTACCATCACCAGAACCTGCTATATCTAAGAGGATTTAACAGGAATAAATATGGCAAAACAAGAAGTTTAAACAATTTCATATTCATATGCTAGAATAGGACCTAGAAAATATAAAGCCAGTAATTAGCACTGATGGAAGGTTAAGGGGAAAAAAAAACACAAGGGTATTAACTAACATAAACAATCCTTTACCCAGGATCACTTCACTTAATCTTCATGGAAAAAATGATCTCTACACACAAACACCAAACAACAATAGTGAGAAAGTGGTTCCATCCTGAAGATACCAGCTCTTCGTTTCTGGTTGTACATTAGTGGCATAAGGAAGATTTTTGTTCCCTCCTTGGGAAAGTGGCAGAAGTGCAGATTTGCTATTCAATGTTCAAATCATCTTGGGATTTAACCCTGATGACCTTCAGAACTCCCATGGTGACTTCTTGAAAAGTCACAGTCTGAGGGGTGGATCCAATCCATCTTCAAAGCGTTTCAGGGCCCCATCTTTTTCATTCTTCGAATCTTGGGAAGTCCTGAATGGTACGGAAAGCAGCTACAGAAGATTCAAAAGATGCTCCTGCTCCGTAACGTTCGGACAGTTGGTTACTTCTGGTCTTCATCCTGTCCAGTCAGTCTGCAAGTACCTTTTTCAAAGATGTCTTACGTTCCCCCAAAATAGGAAGGTGTCAGGTATTTTCAGTGAGATTTTCAGTCAGTAGTTTTGCTTCATCATTGTTTCTAGGCTTTTTATTCTGCCTTACTTAGAAGCCTGCTCCATGTCCTTTCTAGTCCCATGTAGGATCCTTTGATTTCTGTCCAAGAACTCTTCCATAACCTTATACTGAACGCATGTTTTTCTACTGTTGTTCCTGTAATTATACTGCATGAGACAGCTTTCCTCGAGTACTAAAACTGTCAGAAAACTGTGTGAATGTTTCTCTAAGTAGCAAACACAAAGTCAGTTTCCTGGTCATTACCAGCTTTAAGACTAGCTATAAAATTCATTACAAGTTACACTTTAGGACTCCTCCAGTAAGCACGTATGAGTTACTGCAGTGTCAGCCCTAAGAAAGTGATCAACTTACCGTATGCTAGAAGTAATTTCCAAAATAAAACTGGGTTAAATAAAAAACAGCATTGTCCACTACAGTAACTGATATGTACTATTAAGTTAGAACACATCTTAAGAGTTCAAAAAAAAAATTAAAACCAGTTGAAAAATAAAATCAAGATGCCAATTTAATTCACATAAATAAATTTGAAAATGAACTCATCAAAAATAAGATTTCAAATAAAGAATTCTTTATTTTACATAATTTACTGTTTAAAAAAAACAAAAAACCAGCAAGTTTTAAACTCTACTTAGCATCAAACATACCTTTCTCATTTTCTTCTTCCTCACCATCCTGAAATTCAAAGAATAAGCAAATGTAAAATGAATTCACATATAACTAGATCTGAGAAATAGCATAAAATTAAATTGGTGGATAATTTAATATTAATCAAGGATACCTATCAGTACTAAATGAATAAGATATTCCTATCACAACCAGAGCCCATTTAGAGAGATGTGTGGCACAAGTCTGGCACATATAATTTTATAAAAGAAATAGATAAATCTGTCAAAGATCAACAACAAACTGGTTTATTTAGATTTATTATTCAAAACTAGTTTATATAACTCAACTCTAACTCATATCAAAGAGCTGCCAAGTGGCCAGCAGGGGGCGAGGTGGTGAAGGGTGCTGGACTCCCACATGGCTGATGGTTTGAGTCCCAGACCTGGCAGCTTGCTTTCTCATTTACTCTCTCTCTCCTCTCTTGCTTACCTCTCTGTTTCTCTCTGGTCAAATTTTAAAATACATGAATTGAAATAAAATAATTCTTAAAAACAAAAGAAAACAAAAAAGAGAGAGTTGGCAATAAAAAGACTGACCTGAAAATTTTATGTCACTGTTTGTAAGTACTATTTAGGACATATTATTCAAAATACCAGAAGGTTGGGCACAGTGGCGCCCGCCCTATGGCAAAATACCAGAAGGTATAACTGGCAGACATGCACTTTTCCAGGGACTGAGTACACACTGATAAAACCAAGGACAAACTTTCCCATTTTAAGCATCTCAGACATGAAGAGGATAACTACTTCAGTAGTCTGTTTCAAATTACTCATTCTTTCTATCTGTTAAAAATCAATCCATATCGGGAACCAGCAGTTAGCATAATGGCTATGTCGCTGGACTCCCACGTAGTCGACCATGGTTCATGTCCCAGACCCGGTGGCTTAAAACTCACGCCAGGTGCGTGTGCGTGCATGCCCAAGATCCCGAGAGGAGAATGGAGGAGAAGGGACTGCGGTGTGACCATCCCCTCTGGGGGGTGATTTCTCGCTTCCTGTCTCTATGTCTCTGTCTGGTGAGCGCACACGCCCTATAGAGAAAACCTCTCCAAAAAAAAAATCAATCCATATCTAAAGTAAATAAATAAATATAAAAATAAATCAATTCATATCTGTCATATATATGCTGATGGTCATTTTTATTTTTATTTTTTGGCTATAGGGCATGTGTGCTTACCAGAGAGACCGACAAAAAGTGAGAAAACACCCCCCCCAGTGGGGATGGCCACACCACAATCCCTTCTCCTCCATTCTCCGCATGGAGGAGATTTTTGGCATGCATGCACATGTGTCCGGGGAGAGTTTTAAGCTGTCAGGTCAAAAACTCCAATAGATGACTACATGGGAGTCCAGCAACGTTACCATTATACCATCTGCTGGTCCTGGCCAGACAGTTTTTAAAATGGCACTTGTACTATAGGTAATCAAAACAAGTAACCCAATTACTTTTTAAAAAAAAATAAAAGTGATTTTGATTTTTAAAACAGTTGATACTGTCACGATCTAAAATAAAGCATGTACTGACCCTGGAAACAGGAATGCTGCAAAGTGAAAAATCTTTACCGTATATACATACTGGAAAAGAGCACTGAAGTAACCACAAGGGAGAACCCACATCTCCCCGAATACAAGGCCAAAATGAATGTGCATGGGGCCAGCAGGTAGCATGGTGGTGAAAGTGGCTGGGTTCCCACATGGTTGACTGTGGTTCAAGTCCTGGATCTGGTGGTTTCAAAATCACACTGGGTACATGTGTATGCTAGCCCAAAATCCCAAGAGGAGAAGGGATTGTAGAATGGCAAACCCCTCCCCCACTCCGGGAAGTGATTTCTCACTTTCCTGCTCTCTTTTTCTCGCTGTCTCTCTCTGGTGAGTACACATGCCCCCATGGCAAAAACCTTTAAAATATTAAGTCAGGTATTTTGAAGTGATTACATACAAAAAAAAAAAAAAAAAAATTCTTGGAACGGTGGTTCCCAAACTTGAGCAAGTATCAGAATCCCCTGAGGAGTTTGGCTGAAACATGGATTGCTAGGGAACAAACAGCTCCAGAGGAGCAGATTGAGACAGTCTGGAGTGAGGATGGACAAGGTGTATCTGTAACAAGCTTCCAGGCGATGCGGACGCTCCTAGAGAGGACTCTGAAAACGACTGCCGTGGCAGGTCAGCTTAGTAGTGAAAGGAGCCTTAAAGCAAAATGTACATGTAAATCAAACTTTAATAGTACATGCATTTTATAATACATTTCGGATTCATATAATGTCTTAAAATATTAAATATTTTACCAAGTGCTCAATATTACATTTAGATAACAATCATATTTCTTTTCTTTGATATTTTTTCTTTTCTTTTTTTTTTGGAGAGGTTTTTGCTATAGGGCGCGTGCGCTCGCCAGACAGAGACAGACAGAGACATAGAAAGCAAGAAATCACCCCCCACGGGGGATGGCTACGCCACAATCCCTTCTCTTCCCGGGATCTTGGGCACGCACGCACACGCGCCCAGCGTGAGTTTTAAGCCACCGGGTCCGTGAGGCGAACCGCCGTTGACTATGTGGGAGTCCAGCGACAGAGCCATTACGCTAACTGCTCGTCCCAATATTTTTTCTTTTTTTAAGAGAGATTTTTGCTATAGGGTGTGTGCGCTCGCCAGACAGAGACAGGAAGTTAAGAAAAAACTGCCCCAGGGAAATAGCCACAGCACAATCCCTTCTCCTCCATTCTCCTCTCAGGACCCTAGGCATGCATGCACAGGCACACGTGTACGGCGTGAGTTTGAAGTCACTGAGCCTGGGACTTTAACTGTGGTAGACTACATGGGAGTCCAGTGATGTAACCATTATGCCATCTGCTGGTACCAACAATCATATTTATGTTATTTTATTTATTTTTATTATTTATCTTAAGTTTGTTTGAATTGGGGCGAGCAGATGGATTGGCGATTAAGGTACTGGACTCCCACATGTCCGACCACGGTTCAAGTCCTGGACCCAGTGATTTGCTTTCTCAAACCCCTCATCTGATCAAACTAGAAAATAATAATAAACTTAAATAAATAATTCTTCATAAAAAAGTATTTGAATTAACATATTAAGGACCCCAATCAGGAAATAATGAATTACTTTACATGCTAAAGTAACATTGGAAAGAACTCAAAATACTTAAAAACTAAACCATAGGGACCAGCAGTTAGCGTAATGGCTATGTTGCTGAACTCCCATGTAGTCGACCGTGGTTCACGTCCCGGATCTGGTGGCTTAAAACTCACACCGGGTGTGTGTGCGTGTGTGCCCAAGATCTTGAGAGGAGAATGGAGAAGGGATTGTGGCGTGGCCAACCCCCCCCCGGGGGGGGGGGTTTTTTTTTTTTGTTTTCTCTCTCTAACTCTCTCTGGCGAGCGTGTGCGAAAAACCCTCAAAAAAAAAAAAAAAAAAAAAAAAAACAACCAACTAAGCCATAAGCTTAGAGTAAAATAGTCTAGAACAAACAAATTATTGACTGGTAACAATGTAGATTTTATTATTATATTAAGTCCATTATATTGCATTCTAAAAATCTCTTAATAAATGGTTGTACTGGAATTTATTTTTAAACATTTAAAAAAGGAAAGAAAAACACTTTAATTTGTAGAGTGGTAGGCAGTGACAAGAAGTGAAGGACAAATTATACTCAAATTATGGATAAATGCTTTTCACATACTCTCCCTTAGGTTGGTAAATTTTCCTAAAGGAATAAACTGGTACACTAACTTCTCAGAAGCAAATCAAATGAACTGAAAGAATACAACTTCATTCCCCTTTATCTACCTGTGATACAAACAGCATGCTCTACTTCCAAATTATTCTTTTACAGATACAGCATTGATAAAGTAAAGGAAAAATGTCCAAATTACTTGCTATTTTAAAAAGTAAATTTTGGGCAAGCCTGTGTTGTCTGCCAGTTAAGACAGAAGAATACCCCATGACCAACCAGCAGTTCAAATCCCAGACCCAGCAGCTTGAAAAACACACAGGCTAGGGCTAGCAGGTGGCCCTAGGTTAAGGGTGCTAGACTTCCATATGGCAGACCGTGGTTCGAATCCTAGACCGGCAGGGCTTGCTTTCTTGCTCTTTCTCTCTCTCTGTCCCATTCTAATCAAATTAAAATAAATAAATAAACAAAGTTAAATAAGATAATTCTTAAAAAAAAAAAAAAAGAAAGAAAGAAAAGAAAAAGAAAAATACATAGGGCATGTATGTGCGTATGTTTAAAATCCAAAAAGGAGAAAAAGAAAAGTTACAGTGTGACCATTCTTGGTGGTGGTGGTGGGGTAGGTAATTCTCTCTCTTTCTCTCTTATTAAATAACTCTCTGTCTCTTCCACATACCCTCTAATATTTTTTCAAGTAAAATTTAGAAGATACTATGGTGGGCAGGCAGGTGGCGTGGTGGTTAAACTGTTGGACTCCCACATGGCTGACCATGGTTTGGGTTCTGGACCTGGTAGTTTGTTTTATCACTTTCCCTTCCCCCCTTGGTCAAATAATCATAATAATAAACAAAATTAATATAATTCTTTTAAAAAAAGATACTATGGGGGCTGGCAGGTGATATGGTGGTTAAAGGTGCTGGATTTCCACATGGCTGACCATGGCTCGAGTCATGGACCTGGCAGCTTGCTTTCTCACTTTCCCTTTCTCACTTGCTCAGTCTCTGTCTGGTCAAATTAAAAGTAATAATAACAAATGGAAATAAATAAATAAATAAATAAAAGATATTATGGGGCCAACCAGCACCACGATGGTTAAGGAGGTGGATCGCACATTGCCAGAGGCAAGGCTGGAGTCTCAGACCCAGAGCACACCTGGTGCCCACGTATGCATCCTCAAAGTCCCAGGAGGAGGAGAGAATGGAGACAGGATGGCGGCATAACCATCCCTGTGCGAGTGCTTTCTCGTTTTCTCTGTATCTCTCTCGTGGTCTCTGGTGAGTACATGTGCCGCCTAGCAAATTAAAAATAAATAAATAAA